TTTTGTTTGCTTGTGGCACTGGCTGTCAAACACAAGGCCTGGACTGTATGAAGGCCAGTGCTTTACCACTGAGTCATATCCTTAACTCCCAAGAGGTTCTGATGTGTTTATAATTTAATTGTGCAGAACCCCTTTTTTTCTTAGTTTATTTGTCTTTATATTGTAATTTCTTCTTGGGAAATAGTACAGGTTTTTTAAAATGTTAAAACCGAATTTGTTTCTTATGTGAAGAGCTAGACTGACTAAAAAACTAACTTCTCTTGATTATTTCTAACAGATAAAATCCAGATTATTTTGGGTTTTTTAGTGATTTATTTATTATATTTATGAGTATACTGTAGCTGTTTTCAGACACACCAAAAGAGGTGATCCTACTACAGATGGTTGTGAGCCACGATGTGGTTTCTGGGAATTGAACTCAGGACCTCTAGAAGAGCGGTCAGTGCTCTTAACTGCTGAGCCATCTTTCCAAGCCCCCTATTTTATGTTTTATTATAGAGAATATTTTTGAGAAGGAAATATCAGATTTTTTAGTATATTGTATAAGAACAGATTATTTGCTAAAAATAATTCCTGTTACAATATTTCAAAAACAAAACCTTTAATCCTACAATACCATTATTAATAGATTCTACCTTAAATGGACCTAAGTTGTTTTGAATAAAACTCTTTTGTCTATTCAAAAAAATACTATGGGAAAGAATAAATAGGGAAAATTAGTTTGATTAGCAGAATGGTTTTGTGTAGCTGCCTGCCACAGATCAACTGGGTTCACCTGAAAGGGGGGCTGGGAATGAAAAGAGGACGGAGGGCGAGAAGAGATGAAGCCAAGACAAAGTTCTCTGATCAAGGCTCCAAGTTTAGTGATGAACTCTCAATTTAAAGGGAAAGGCCCCACCCCAACCCTTCCTTGTTTCAGCTTGAGATGGGTGGCGGAATCCATTCTGGGTCCCAGCCGGAGACATCTCAAGGCAAGCCCAGGGGCAGATCTTCTAAGTTCCACACAGCCACGGTGGGTAACTTCACCTAGATCCTATCTCTTGGTCTGTTGTGGTAAACAAGGTCTTTCAGGCCTGCTCAAGGCTGGAGGAAGGGCACAGTTTTGTAGGAGTGGGTGTTGGTGGAAAGTTTGCTTCATAATGCAAGCATGCATGTATGTGTGCATGAGTGCATGCGTGCTCAAGGGTATGCATGGCTTCATGATCTCAACACTGACTAGAACTCATTATGTAATCCAGGCTGGCCCTAGATGTGTGGCAGTTCTCCTGCTCTGCCTCCCGGAGTGTTAGTGTTTAAATGTGTGTCACCATTCCCAGTTTATGCTGTTCTTTTAACCACAAATTGATTACATTTTACTTGTGATATGTATGGATAGTTGGCTGTGGGGTTGGCTAAATTCAAACCTTCACACTTATAAGCATCTTCAAAACTTCAAGTTAAGTAACTAGAAGGCCTGGGCAGTGGTAGTGCACACCTTTAGTCCTAGCACTTGGGCAGAGGCAGGAGTATCTCTGTGAGTTCAAGGCTAGCCTGGTCTACAGAATAAGTTCCAGGGTAGCTAAGGCTATATAGAGAAACCCTGTCTTTGAAGATAGATGGATGGATGCATGGATGGATGGATGGATGGATGGATGGATGGATGGATGGATGGATGGGTGGGTGGATGGACGAATGAAAATCATTCATGGAGACAGTGCTATTTCAGACATCCTCAGTATATTTCATTAATATTAGACTTCACTTTATAAGCTATTTTGATGCTCTGATTTTATGTTTTCACTTTTTTTTAAGATTTATTTATTTATTTTAATGAGTACACTGTAGCTGTCTTCAGACACACCAGAAGAGGGCATTGGAGAAGAAGCCACCATGTAGTTGTTGTAAATTGAACTCATGACCTCTGGAAGAGCAGTCAGTGCTTTTAACCACTGAGCCATCTCTCCAGCCCCTGATATTATGTTTTCACAAAATAACTTTGTCATTCTTTTATAGTAATGATATGTGCTATGTTGTTTTCTTGACAATATATTTACAGAAATTTGTCATAAATTTATAAAACCAACCTTTGAATGTATTGTGCTTTGACCATATTATTCCTGCTCGTCTTCATTGGATTCATATGAAAGATGTGACAGGAGCTAGTGAGATGATCATGGCAGATAAAGTGCCTGCCATGCAGCCGTGAGGACAGGAGTTCAGATCTCTAGCACCCATATAAGAGCTAGGCATGTCTGTAACCCCAGTGCTGGTGAGCGCTGAGACAAACTATCTCTGGAGCTTTGCAACCAGGCTAGCTGCACCAATGAACTCCAGGTCCTGGCTCAAGAAAATAGGTGGAGAGCAGTGGGGGAAGACAAGCTGATGTCTACTTCTGGTCTGTACACACACCCATCCTACCCCATAAAAGATGAGGGAGGTTATATGTATTTGCATGTTGTATAGATTACCTTTTTTTGTACCTGTTGATAACCCATGTTGTCCCTATTTTACAAATAGAGCAACTAGTGTTCTCAACCCTTAGGAAGCTGAAGTAAAAAGAGACTGTTGTGGAGTTCAAGTCCAGCCTATGCTACTTAATAAGTTGGAAGCCACCTTGCACTACCTAATGAGATTCTGCCTCAAAACAGCAACAAAGTTAAACTTGTTTGTAGAGATTTACAGACCTGTTCCAAGTTCCTAGAATAATTGCTTGTAAAGGTCAGATTTAAACTGAGTTCTGTTGAACTCTAAACTCTATTTTCTTCTCTAAATTATATAGTCTTTTTTTTTAATCTAAGTTCCTTAAAACCCCAGTTTCACTCTGCTGTGTTGTCATTGATCTCATATATTCATTTTGTTTTCTGCCAGACTCTCCTGAAGACGAGCTTTATCTTACTCATATCTATAACCTCACCTCGGGGCCTGTTACAGACTAGTAGAGTGAGCCACAGTGGTATCACTGATAAGGAAGCACGAGGTTTGTTTTCTGGTTTAGTTCATTCTTTCATAAAGCTCCTACCATTTGGATGTCTTAGCTTTTAGTGTTAGTTTCACACAAATACATATGCACGAACAAACTCTTTTATATAAATGCCCTGCCCCTGGCCAGCCAGTGGGCAGGGCAGTTTTGATTGTGTGTGTGTGTGTGTGTGTGTGTGTGTTGGTGTGGGTGTGTTTTACTGGCACACTTAACAGCAGCATGTTTGTATATAGGTGTGAGCAGGTGGAAGCCACAGATCACCTCGGGCCTTGTTCCTTAGTTACTGTGTACCTTATCTTTTTGAAATAAGGTCTTTCACTGAGGCCTGGGACTCAGTAAGTAGGCTAGGCTGTCTGGCTAGCAAGTCCTAGGAATCTGCTTATTCCACCTTGCCAGTGCTGTGGTTACAAACACACTCCCCAACACCTAGACTTTGACTTGGGTGCTAGGGATCAAACTTAGGTCCTCATGCGTGTGTGGCTAGCACATCACCAACTGAATAGTCTCCCTAGCCTCTGTTTTTTGAAGCAGCCTTACACTGTAGTCCATGCTAGGTTGGTATTCTGTTGAATAAGTTGGTCTCAAACTTGTGGCAGTTCTTTAAGTTCTGAGATTGCAGGAATGAGGCATCATGCCTGGCTCTTATCTTTGGAGAACTTGTTTGGAGGTTCTAGCACGGGCACACGAATACTCCAATACCCTTGCCTGGCAAATGACCATTATCTTTATCCTACCAAGCATGCATCTTTGGAAGGAACATAAACAGAATAGTGAGGAAGGAAAAAAACATCAACGTAGGTAGCTGAATCAACAGAGTCAACCTGGCAACCAGTAGATGACAAGATGTTGCAAACAGGTTACACTGTCATTTATTTTTCTATTTTATGGGTGAATAATTTCATTATTTGAATATACACTTCTCCCCCCTTTTGAGATAGACTTTCATTTAGCCCAGACTGTCCTTGAACTTCCAATCCTTCCACCTCTGCTTCTCACATGCTAGGATGATGATTGTATGCCACATAGTTTTATGTGGTGATGGGGATTAAACCCGTGGCTTTGTGCATGCTAAGCAAGCATTCTACTACCATCTGGCTATATCCCTAGCCCAGTATATTTTATACATGAGACTCTTATCTTCTGTACCCATTACCATTCAAGTCCTACATAAAGTTGACCTATAGTCCTGAGTCAGTGACGTTTGAGTTGATACAATGAATTTATTTTCTAATAATGTTAACATGACTATAAAAGATGAAAGGATAAAAAGATATGGTAACTTTAAGTCATGTATGACATTAATTTATAAATTAGATATTGAATCTATACTTTATCAATATTTGAAGATACTAGTTTTTAATACCTTTATTCTGTGAATAGTGCTCCCAAATTTTAATCTGGAAGAAAAACCCAAAATTTTTTTAAAATTTCATGTGCATTGGTGTTTTGCCTGCATGTAAGTCTATATGAAGGTTCCAGATCCCCTGGAACTGGATAACGACAGTTGTGAACTGCCATGTGGGTGCTGGGAATCGAATCCAGGTAACCCGGGTCCTCTGGAAGAGTAGCCAATGCTCTTAACCACTGAGCCATCTCTCCAGCCCTAGAATAACTATTTAGAAAAGGTTTATAACCACAAGCTTGCTTGCTTATTTGTTTGTTTGTTTGCTTTTACTACAAGTTTTATGTAGGATTATACAAATTGTTTATAAAATTCTTTGCTATAAAAGAGAGAATAGTGCAAACACATCATACAATTAGCGTTTTGGGTATATGCCATGTTACTCTTGTATTCAGGTTTGTTTGTTTGTTTGTTTGTTTGTTTGTTTTGAGACAGGGTTTCTCTGTATAGCCCTGGCTGTCCTGGAACTCACTCTGTAGACCAAGCTAGCCTTGAACTCTCAGAAATCCGCCTGCCTCTGCCTCCCAAGTACCGGGATTAAAGGCGTGCACCACCACCGCCCGACCTTGTATTCAGTTTTAATCCCGGGTACAAAGCAGAAGAATCTAATGTATTGCTGGGCTTTATTTTTTGTATTAGCTCCTCCAGAGTTACTGATCTATGAAATGGCAGAGAATGGAAAAAATTGTGACCAGAGACGTGTAGCAATGAGTAAGGAACAGCATAATGGAAGTTTCACAGGTAAGGATCATGTGGCTGCACTAACAGCAAATTTTCCATGGGCGTTTGGTGAGTGTTGTTCTTCTGGGGCTTCACATGAATTTCTTCACTTAATCCTTACACTGACCAAGTAGTTTGCCTCTGCATTTTGAGATGATTCATCCCTTTAATGCTGGCAGAGGCAGACAGATATCTGTGAGTTCAACACCAGCCAGTTCTACATAGTGAATTCTAGGACAGCTAGGGTATGTACTGACACCTTATCTCAAAACAAAAAAACAGATTGCAGAAGAAATACCTGACCTACACGTATCTTTCCCCAGATTTGTAGTTTGAGTCCAAATACAACTGTTGGATTCTGTTTCTTTTGAGGGGAGGAAGTGCATTTTGAGATGAAGTTTCTCTGTAACAGCCCTAGTTGTCCTAGAACTCAAAGGCCAAGCTTGCCTCCGAACTCATAGAAATCTGTGTGACTTCAAGTGCTGGGATTAAAGGCATGTGCCACTACGACAGGCCATCTTAGTGCCATTTATGTAGGATACATGCTATGAAAGGAATTAGTAAAGAACATTTTTTATTTTTTTATTTATTTTTAGTGTATGTTTTGGTTTGTTTTTGCAGGGTTTGTTGTTGCCTCAGTAATACTGATGGGAAAATAACAGATCTAGGGCTAGGGCACAGAGGACATGAACAGCATGTGTTAAATCCTGGATTCAGTCCTCACCACCAAAAAGGAGCTGCTACCATGACAGTTCATTTTATTTCTGACAGTTTGGACTAGTTTCCATTTCTCAGGATTATTGGGTTTGCGGTGAATGGTTACCTGGGACATGTATGAAACTTTCTTTCTAAGCAGTCATACATTATACTATCCTTCTCTATAATAACTAAAAAGAATACTCTGCAAAGTTGTCACTGATGGAGTGGAAAGAGATGGGCAAAGATGTACAGACAGGTGGAAAGCCATTAAGGCTTCAGTACAGAAGCCTACCACAATCCTTGTTCTTTTGTTAAGATTTCAGAGACTAGAATTTTGTTCTATAGATTGCCTCCTCTACATAAGGTTGATCTCAGTTTGGTACTTCGAACTCCTTGAATTTGCATGATCACAGTGTTAAATCTCATTTATATGTTTAAGATATTTTTATGCTGTGTTAGAGATACAAGACAGCAAGGCGGGTCGATTGTTATTCTTTGAACATGGTGGCACAGATGTCAGGAATTCTCCTCTAACTCCATGCTGGTGTTTTTCAGACCCCTCTTCAGTACATGAGAAGAAAAGAAGGGATCGGGAAGAAAGACAGAATATTGTCTTGTGGAGACAGCCGCTCATTACCTTGCAGTATTTCTCTCTGGAAACTCTTGTAGTTTTGAAGGAATGGACCTCAAAGTAAAGAGCTTTCTTACTACTTTTTATATAAATCGTATTTACTAATTTTAGAAGTCCTCAGCTGTCTCCTACTCTCTGCCATCTGTTTTACCAAAATGGATTAATTAAATTTAGAACATTATGCTAGGAACATCTGTTTCCCTTCCTATAGTTTAAAGAGAACTGAAACAGGGAATGGAGACGTAGCTCAGCTAGAGCGCTTGCCTGCCATGCACAGACCGTCACCACCACACAGAAACCAGGTTTCCAGGGTCTCCCTCTGCCGTATGCTTGGAGGACAACCTGGGCTACATAGAGACTGTCACCCCTCCACAAATGGAGAACAATAAATTGGGATATTCAGTTTGAAGAAAGACGTAGTGAGGAAATGTTATTTGCTTGATAGATTACTGCAGGTGACTGCTGATTCTTGGCTTCCAGGGGAAACATGGAAAAGATAGTAGTTGTTTCCTCCTGATTTTGTCTTAAAAAGAAACCAGGCCTGTTTGCAGTAGATACACAAAGTCTACTTTACTGATAACCAGGCAAAAAGCTTTGCCTGAAAATGTGTCCTGTCTTTAAACCCTGTGCTCCTGCTGTTTTGAATATGGCAGAGAGCAATTTCAGAGCTTGTTATTTTCTTGTCCTTTTAAGTCTATACTGTTATCTTACAGTTTCATTGTACTTAACATTTATAAAACATTTTGTAACAAATTTCAGCTCATCTGATCCCTCTAGGAGCTCTACAAAGAAGGAAAAGCAAATATATGATTATTGTGATTTTTAAAAGCAAAAACGCAAATCAGATTGGTTAAATGTCTTGGCCAACCAAGCCTGTGGCTTGAAAGCCAGTGTTCTTCCTGTTACACTGTAATACATCTCCAAATTCAAAGATGGGGTGCGAACAAAATGAGGCTTTGGGCAGAGAAAGGCTGAGTGAGAGTGAGGCTATATGATAATTCAGGTTCAGGCCCTGTGTCCCTTGACTGACTCCTTTCTACATCCCAAAGGCTGGTTCTACAAATTGTAAGATTAATGTGACTTTTTTTTTTTCCATTTCTTTTTAAGATTGTGGCATCGTCAAAGCATTGTGGTGTCCTTTTTACTGCTGCTTGCTGTGCTTGTAGCTACGTATTATGTGGAAGGAGCGCACCAACAGGTGAGGTGCTGCGTATTCCCACTCTGTAGTCACATGACATTTCAGAATGAGACTAATTCGAGTTTCATAGAGTTTATACCCTCAACATTTTAAGCATACTGATAGTTGGTATCTTAATGTCTTACTCCATACACTAAAAATACCCAAGCACTGTCTAGTAGCTGTTTAACATTATTTTGGTATTTAGGATACCTTTTTACCATCAAAGATGTAAGCTATTTTTTTTGTATTCAGTCAAAACAGCATAGATCTTTTCATATTTACCACAATGTCTTCATAATGTCTACTGAATGCCTTTCTGATCGGTCCAGACAGGTTTCATCCTAGATTGAGAAGTGTTATGCTTATGAAAGGTAGATTCATTTCCCTGCAGTCAACAGTCATAGTACTGATGGGAAAATGAGGAAGGAACATTTTGTAAGCACATTATCATTAAAATAGTGAAACATTAATCTATTCTAATAGGAAATGGTTTTTAAAAGCTATCGCTTTAAAGTAATTTACTTCTAATGTTGGGAAAGGGTTTTGTTTTTGTTGTTTTTAAGTAGTTTTCAATGCATTTTCAATAGGAATCTTTATATCTTGGTGTGATAGTTTGTATATACTTGGCCCAAGGAGTGGCATTATTAGGAGGTATGGCCTTGTTGGAGTATGTGTTTCACTGTGGGCTTAAAACCCTCACCCTAGATGCCTGGAAGTCAGTAGTCTGCTAGCAGCCTTCAGATGAAGATATAGAACTCTCAGTTCCTTCTGAACCATGCCTGCCTAGACACTACCATGCTCCTGCCTTGATGATAATGGACTAGACTTCTGAACCTATAAGCCAGCCCCAATTAAATGTTGTCCTTATAAGACTTGCATTGGTCATGATGTCTGTCCACAGCAGTAAAACCCTAACTAAGACAGAAGCTGGTACCAGGGGCTGGGGTATTGCTGTGATAGGCCTGACCATCCTTTTGTTTGGAGGAATGTGGAATTTGGGACTTTGGATTTGGAAATCAGTGGAATGCTTTAAATGGGTCTTAATGAGCTATCCTAGTAGCTATCCTATAAAAGACTTTGTTACTGAGAGTGATTTGAGCTGTATATGCCTGGCCCAAGATGGGTCAGTGGAGAAGAATTTCAGTATGTGACATAGAGACTGTTTTTGTGATATTTTGGGGGGAAAATGTGGCTGCTTTTTGCCATTGTCTGAAGAGTCTGCCTGAGGCTAAGGTGAAGAGATTTAGATTAATTGCTTTGAAAAAGGAAGTCTCAAAACAGCCTGGTGTAGATTCTGTTGTGTGGCTACTAAAGTTCACTTATGAAGAGCAGTTTAATGAAAAGGAGCAAGCTGAGAAAGGAAAGATACAAAATATATGGTTCAAGTATTAAAGGGACACCAGGAAGTGAAATGGAGCCGAATCCTGTGTTCAAGGATATTAATTTGAATTAAGGCAGTAGTGCCCTTGGGGCAAGATCCCACCCAGCTAAGTTTAGGTAAGGCATGATAGTACAAGCTTTTAATCTCAGGAGGCAAAGACAAGCAGATCTCTGAGTTCAAGGCCAACCTAGAGCAAATTCTAGGTGAAGAAAATCTTAAATCCAGACTTAGTGGATCACACCTTTAGTCCCAGTGCTTAGGAGACAGGCATGCAGATCTCTTGGGTTCAAAGTCAGTCTATGGAGCAAGTTCCAGGACAGCCAAGGTTAGGCAGTGAAGGAGTTGGAAAACAGAAAGCTGGTGATAATGTAATAGAACAAGGAGGCCATGTTCCAGCCCCAGCAAGCAGCAGAACTCGGCAGCTTTGGCCATGTGGCTCTGGCTTTAGAGTCCAGACTAAAAGGAACTAATGGAAAAATTGATGGTTATTATTAGCTAGAGCTAAGAAATTAGCCATGATTAAGGAGAGACCAGCGTCACTGAGGTGATATCTTCTGGGAAGTGTTTTCTGAGCACACAAAGAAGCTGTGTTCCAGAGATAGCCAAGGTTGTACCTTGTGCTGCAGCTATACTTGGTAATGTGTAAGAGTCACCCAGGTGGTACTGGTTTTGAAGGCATGAAGGCAGCATGAAGAACAGCTGAGCTTGGCACTATGAGATGCCATGGAAGGCCATTGGTGAAGGTGCAGCCCCAGTTGCAGTTGACATCCCACAACTGAAGGGGTCTAAAAAACTTGAGGCTTGGCACCATGAAGAGAGCCCATGAGAGGCTAGTGAAACCTAATTGCAGCAGAAGACCCCAGTGTATTGGAGATGCCAGTACATGCAATAGAATGATCACCAAGAACAGCATAGGCAGTGGATCAGTGTGAGCTTACAGTGCTACAGAGGGCTGTTGGAGAAGTGACGCTAGCCCTTTGGAGGAGCCCAGAAGATTATGTGTAGATCCTAGACATTGAAATAAGAAGCTGTAACGTTGAAGTTGCCTTGGAAATCTCAAGGTGTTCAAGATGCTAGCCGTCATCTATCTGCTGAGAAAAGCTGCTAACTGGGAGTGGTACCAGCCCAGGAGAAAGAAGTTTGTTGCAGTCAACGAAGATGAAAAGGAGTTGGACATCTGAAGACTGCTTTGACATCAGACATAGAGATGCAGAGTTTGGAGTTTGCCCAGCTGGTTTCCTGTCTTTCTTTGGGATTACAGTTAAATGATTGGATGAGGGCTGGAGAGATGGCTCAGTGGTTAAGAGCACTGACTGCTCTTCCAGAGGTCCTGAGTTCAAGTCCCAGCAACCACATGGTGGCTCACAACCATCTTTTAAAAAAAAAAAAAAAAAATGATTGGATGAGCCGGGCGGTGGTGGTGCACGCCTTTAATCCCAGCACTTGGGAGGCAGAGGCAGGTGGATCTCTGAGTTCGAGGCCAGCCTGGTCTACAGAGTGAGTTCCAGGACAGCCAGGGCAACACAGAGAAACCCTGTCTCGAAAAAACAAA